TTCCAATATGCGTTTTTGCTGCCTGTTGCAGCGCTCTAGCGCTGCACGGCAAAAACGCATAATGAGTCCATTTCCTTCAAAAAATACGCGAAGGAAATAAGCGAAAGAAATTTCCGCAGATATATACAACTGCAGAAATAGCAATGTCTTCTTGAGACGATCGATGCTCAGAAAACTGTCAGGGAAAAGGAGGAATGTCGTATTGGCTTTTTTTGTAACCTTAGACACAAGACATCTTATTTTGGGTCTTGTAGCACTCCGGGAAAATGAAAATCGGTTCTGTGATTCATAAAAAAGCTAAAAAGGCAATATTTACCGGTTCTGTTGGTAATAGAGCAATCGCGGAATGACCGACCATTCCCAGCTCCCCAATCAATTTTACCAGTTCAGTTGTGTCTGAATAATGCGCAACAATGCGTGTACTAGCTGTGACGTGATTCAAGAGACCGCACGGAGCACCATCCGGCGTATGCACTGGGCATATAAAGCCCCAAGCTTCCGGGCGCAATTTACGCACATCTGTGGTGCGCATCTCCATGAAAAACGCTCCTCGATGTATTGCTCTAAATTAGAAACAGATTAAACCATTCGCTAAAATTGCATAAACTTTTATTAATTGAAAAAATTATACTATTTCAGTATAAAGAGGTGGTCAGTTGGTTTTCCAAAGAGCACGCGCATTCGAAGAATTGAATCTGATCTTTTAAATAAGCCGAAAATGAAGGAAGCGTGTCTAACACATCTTGGAACAAATACCAAGTATAGTGATAAAATTAACCTGAAATGGGAAACGAATCGAAGTTGGTTGATTCTTTCTGCAATAACCGAAAATCCATTGTTCTGCTGGAGAGTCAAACCGTTCCTTGTAATGAGATTTCCTGTGGCAAGGAAGAATTCGAGACCTCGAGTGATTTCACCCGAGCGATGAGTGCCAATTGCGCGGATGAGCTCGTGGCTGCAAAAAAACAAAAAGTGCAATCCCAACCCAAAAGAGCACGGTGATTGAGGATCTCGCAATTGCCATTCAAAAAATGAAAGATAAAAACTGGGAAGGAAAAATGTGATCAAC